GTTCAACTTGACGCCAGTACTTTACTAGCAGTAAAATTTTATTACACCACCATATAACAAAAGTTACCTCACCACACAGGATGACATTTTCATTATTCATGAACTATGGTAAGAGGGTGGTGGCTGAGGTCAAATTAAAAAGTTATCCTGAAACAAACTATCAGTTGGAACTAAGGTAACATCAAATAAACATAAAAACGTTTATAAGAGATAAGAGAGCTTGAAAACAGTCACTGAGAGCTGCTCTCTGACCACCACTGTTATCAAATACTGCCCTTACTTGTACTCAAGCACAAAAATCAGATGGCACTCAAGGTATATAGATACAACATTTCAAATCATTTTACAACATTTTTAATAGGTTCTAAACAAAATTGTTATCTGCTATAAGAAGACAGACAGATACAAAAATATATAAGGACATTTAATATTTTCTACACATATATATGTATTTATATTTAGTAAACTAAGCATGAAACTATGGTCCAATAGTTAGTGAAAATTTTCCTATCTTGCTCATGTATTTTTTGCTTGAATTTGAGGGAAACATGACTCTACACCATACTTCAATGTCAAAATACTAGACATCGATCCAAAAATATTCCCAGTTATCCCGAAGAACACCAAATAACCACAATTATTACACAGAATGTTGATCATTGTGCATTAAAAAGGGGCAAATTAGAGCAGAGGAAGAATGTCTAAAAAGAAAAATAATAAAGGAGATAGTGATCTGGCATGAAAATAAACTAAAAAGACTGATATATGTGTGTACACATAAGAAGGTTGAAAGATGACATAATAAACGTTTACTAAGGCATCAATGGTGCCAACAGGAAAAACAAGTTCTAAGTCTGAAAAATAAAAGGACCTAGGGTCACCACGAAATCGCTGAAACAGATAAGGAAAGGTCAGCCTAGAGCAGTGGCTCCTGTTTTGACACAATGGTTTATTTGCCTTAACATATCAGTTAAATATCATGTACATGCTCCTGTGAGTGGAACTGCTCAACTACAGGCTGTTGCACCAAAAACATAGAACATGGGTGTGGCCGTGCTTCTATCCTCCGTTCCCAAGACATCACACAGTGTCTAGATTCTAGACCCCTGGACTAAAACACAGGAAAAGGAAGAATTCCAGAGAAATTAAAGTTAGCAGTGCCCAAACAATGTACAGTCCCTGCATCCTGGGCCTCCCTATTGTGATTCATACAAACCAACTCCCTTGTCCTGATTTCATACCCATAAGGGAAGCTTGCAATTTTAACTGGACTTTCTGTGTAAATCAGTCTATAGAAAGACAACATACTTATACTGCTTTGAGCATTCTGGACCTGTAATAGTAAAATACCTCATTATAAATTAGAAATTAACTCTTCCTAAATATTTACATCTCTGGGAACTTCATGGACTGTGCGAGCTGAGTACTGTGAGTCCACCCCTGATTAGCAGTGACAATCTTAATAAGAGGACCTTACCAGATTTCCTGTCATAGAGCCAAGGGCCTGACCCCAAACCAACATGGACTCATCCCACATGTCAGCCAGCCTTTCCTGGCGGCACCACAGCCCTACTGTGCATCTTTACTCCCCAGTGAAAATAAACAGTATTTGTTGCAGTGAAACTTGGTCTACATTCACAAAATACTTAAAATCAAGTAGTATAGTCTTCGATCCAAAAAGTTTTTCTACTTCTCCCACTTGCCTCTTCCTCTAATGGTGTCTCCGTACATATTAATTTCACATTACTGTAATAACAGTGGTTATGTTGGCAAAGAACAGATGAGAATGGCAGGCAGGCTGGAAAAACCAAGCCATGTTTAACCTCAGGGAAACCTAGCTGGCAAACCACATAAGAAAGCTGTGCCAGAAGAAACATGCATCTTATAAAAATTCTCAGATCCCAACTCTTCTGAAAAAGAGGTGCCTTACTACTGTCAAATCTGGCACACTGAGGAATTCAGGGTAGTCCTATGCGAGTTTGCTTTCCCTGCTGTACCCCACCTTATATCACACATTTCTGAATCCCTAAAGGTCAAGCAATAGTCAGCTATGCCACATATAAAATTTCAATAGGAAAAGATTTTGGAAGCTATCTGGAAATATATTTTCAAAGACTGTACTCCTGAATACTAAGGATACTTTTGTCCAAATGCTTGAACAAAAAGAGAAATACCTTTCTAATTTTTATCTAATTGAAAATGTCAATATGCCAGCTTCCTTAACTTAAAGATAATTTCAAAATTCAAAAATTCAATTCTATACTGCTGCCAAAGTAAAGGGATTATATTGTGACACAGAAAGACACAGACATCATATACATCATATACCTGAGAGGCATGATGATAAGAGGTTAATAATACAAGATCACTTTCCCAATGAACACTCCAGTTATAAATGATATGAACATAAAAATAACTAAAATGTTACTTGTTAAGGAAATAATTAAGGAAAAATAAGAAACATGAACTTACCAGTTTAATTGCCACATATTCATTTGTGTATAAATTTTTCCCTTGAAAAGAAAGAAAAAATGTCAGACATCAACCAGTGATTAATTTTTTAAACATATATTATGTAAAACTGTATTCTAGGCAAAAATAACCTTTTAAAACCATAATACATTTAAATGAAGCATAGGCATTTGCTTCCAACTATTTATGGAAAACCTCAATGACAAGGAAATACTAAATTTATGATCAACTCAATGACATATTTAGTATTTCACTAGACTCAGAGTAGAAAGTGATAGTAATAAATACTTTCTCCCACTTACAAAAATAGAAAGACCCTTATTTTGTTGGAATATTGTACACAACTCAGAATATAATCAATAATCAAACACACGCTAAACTAAATTTCAAAACTAGAATTCCTACATAAATAAAGGACGACTACAAAAAAATCCTCTCCTAATTACCACCTCATTTTAAACACTTCATTATTATGGGATGTAATCGCATTAGGGCTCATAAGAAATCTAGTAAATGGATCAAATACATAGAAAAAAATCTGGAATACATAAAAAATGAAACAAAATAAGAAAAGTATTGAATAATTAGCTCTGACAAACAAGTTAAGTAGTTTAAGGAGAAAAAAGGCTATTAGCATGTCACCTTATAATCAAATTAAATTCTAGGTATTTTAAAAATTATATATCTAAAACGATATACAATCCCCAAAATAAAAACAAATGTTTTATCAGCCACTATAGAGAAAGAAGCCTTTCTGAGAATTTTTAAAAATTGGAAAAAGATTAAAATGTCAGATTTTATACAGATTTGATTGTATAAAATACTTTAAAATTCTTTATGCTGAAAAAAATATATTCATATGTACACAAGAAAAAATAGTCACAGAACAAAAAGTTTACAGATTCCATAGAACCAAAATACACCAAATGCTTCTAGAAGTACTGTTTTTGTTAGCTTTTACATGGTCAAAGGTCTATTTTTAGGTCACAGCAGGAAGCACTAAAACAGTAAGGTATCACCTTTTTCTGACTATTAGAGATTTTGCTAAACTGTACAGATTACATTTATGAACATGAACAATGATTAAACAATACTAACAATGTATTTTTGTCACCTAACATAGGCATAGCCTAATACAGTTGATTTTTAATCAATATTTGTTAAAGGTGTGAACCAAAAATGATGCACAAAGTATATGCTTGTGTGTATAATTTGAGTGAGAGGGAAGAGGTGTAAGTGTAGAGAGAATCCAGTTAAGAGAAGACTCCAAAGAGTAAACCGACATTTTAGTCCAATTTCAAAAGACATTTCCAACAGGGCTTTTGCCATCCAGAACTTGAAAAGATGGTTTTACCAATTTTGTGACACCAGAGTGGTAATTATTATAGAAAACTATGTACTACAGAAACTAATAACATGTTTATAGCAGGAACTACAAGTTACCCACCAGCACCCATGCTCCCCCCTCTATAATAATAGAATGCCAGAATTTTTAAATGGTTGCCCAGACAGGGACTACATTTCCAGCCTCTCTTGCAGCTTGTGTAGCCATGTGATTAAAGTTCTGGATGGGAGTGGACATAAGGTGTATCACCTCCACTTCCAAGAATGGATGCATGCTCTCCTGGGTCTTTTTCTTCTCGCTGGCTGGGAGATGGCAACAACTGGAGCAATCACCTTACATACAGAGACGGAAGCCATATATTGAGGATGCAGAGGTACCCTGACAGCCCTGGGTACTCTCCCTCTGCTTTGTTATGTGAAAGCAAAACAAATTATTTTGCTTAACACCATTATACTCTAGGATCTCTCTGTGATAGCATCATGTCTATTCTTTATTATTACATTTTTCAGATAAGTTTTATAATAAACTTCAGTTAGTAATTAGAAAATCAACAAACATGAAGATGATCAATCTACTCAAATCTGTACATTTGATATTTATTTGAAAGGGCTTCAATAAAACAATTCCTAAATATAAACAATAAAATAAGAAGAGTTATAACCTATGGAATAAGAAGAGAAGAAACAAAAATAAAAGAAGTTATGGAAACTCTTGTGGTATGTCAAAAGTCACATTATCTCATTTCAGACATGGTAATTCATAAAGCAATATATAACACCCTTGTTCTGTACTCCTTTATGTAATGGTCAGTCAGATGTGACAGCAAGAGGGAACAACAAAAGAGGCTCAGAAAAACAAAGTTTATTATACCCACAAGTCCTAGAGAGGGGGTTCACAGGGAAAGCATGATGTGTGGGTCGGGTGGTAGAACACAGGAGCAAGGGGAGAGCAGAGGCCACGGCCTTTAGTGGGGTTTCCTCAGGAAGGTAAGGCAAGGCAGGGTAGAGCAAATAGGACTGGCTAATTTGAATAAGTCTGGAAGAGAATAACTCTGGTGGCCTTTGGGCTACGTGGGTGGTCTCTAGTTGTCTTGTAAGTGGCCATGGGATGATTAATGAAGAGGAAGACTGCCTCCCGACATGTTTGAGCCCAACAAAGGAGATATGGCTCTGGACTGGTTAGTTCGCAGATCACAGACATGCTCCTAAATGAGTCATTTGCTATCTGTAAGAACTGGCTAGTGCCCGGAGGTGACTCTTTCTCCAGTCAGAAAGGTTTTAAGTTGTCCAAACATCATAATATACAAAAAAATAAAAACTATATATAATACAACCCTGTATTTTAGCTAGCAATGTTTGGTCTCATTCAGTACCTGTTAAAAACATTTCTAGGGATTTTGATCAATTGTCTAAGCTAGAAATACACCTACTAAATGCAGAAAAAGACCCTTACCACCAAAACATGTAAAGATAAAATAATACCAAAATTACATCAATTCATCAATTCTACAACTAAAAAACAGATGAAAATGATAGTAAGTACATTTACTTAAATTTAATTTCAGATTACTATTTAAAATGTTTACCTATTTTTTTAATCTCTCAAGGCCAATTTTTTTATTTCCAACTTTAAAAAAAAATTATCTGTGAGAGTAGTTTCAACAGTAGATAATACTCTCTCCTTGAGGCATCTGAAAATGGCAGGGAGGAAGAGGGCATCAGGAGTTACTTTGGAGATGTAAGTCCTTTTTAGTGTCCAAGAGGTCCAAAGTTCTAAACACCATGCAATGTGTGGGGCAGTCTTCCATAAAAAAACTACTATCCAGCCCAAAGCACCAATAGAATCTTTGTTGAAAATCACTTACCTATAACATGTATACTTTATATTCTTTGCTACTCAATACTAACCACAAAAAATTTAGTGCCAGGATTCAATTGCTCAAGATGTGTCTATTATGTGGTTTTAAAAAAAAGTACTAGATGAACCTACACCAACTTTTAACATTAGCATGTTTACCCAGCTATAGAAAGAATGATGCTTACTACAACTTTTACCATACAGAGAAATCATTTGGGGCCTTAAACACAGGAGTAAAATGCCCGTTTATTTTGAAGTCTATCAATAAAAAGGAATAAGATGATTAAATTAACTCTACAAGTACAAACATTGTTTACAAGCATACATAAAACAGATAAATACATAGATATAGATAATACATATTTAAATAAATAGATGTATACAAATACACAATAAATACCATAGATTAGATACAGATAGGTAGATGATTGATAAACAAATGGACAGACTAATAAGTACCTTATTCCTATTCTTGCTTATTCACAAACTGCTAAAGAAAGAGGTATCTATCTAACTACTTTTCCAGTATAAAGCACATANTATATATATATATATGTAGTTGTTTTGAAATAAATTATATGAAACCAAAAATGATCAAAGTACTATATAGCACTATAATCATATACATAGAGATAGTGCAATAGATACGGTACAAATAAATGTAGCTACGACATAATATATAGCTACACAGACAATTCATATAAATGTAAATAAATATACATGCGACATACCATAATTTTAATTTTAAAAACAACAAATATCTTGATATCATCTTTCAAAGGAACAGAACAATCAATGTTTCCCTAAAGTATGCAGGTATAGTGCTGGTCCTTTTATATTATCATCTAAAAGAATCCTCACAATAACCTAGATGTGGAAATAACCCCATTTTAAAGTTGAGGAATTTGAGGTCTCAAGTGTTTAAATGCAAAGGCAGGGATAATCTTTATATTTTTCCAGTGCATTATTAGTGCACTGGAAAAATATATAGGCATGCACAAAAAATGATAGGCATGCACTAAATTCTGAGTGGCTGGACGGATAGATGATGCTCAAAGTTAGACAAATAAATAATCAGGCTTGTTTCAAAATCAGAAACAGTTTAAGAATTTCACAATATCTAATTCAATGTCCTCCAAAAAATAAAACATAAAATATTCACCCTTTCAAATATTTGAGTCTTTACTCAAATACAAAAAAGTCTGACAGTCATGAAAAAACTGTAATGTCATATTACAGCTATGTACAAAGTATGTCATTGCTATTTATTGGCTTGCTTCATTCAAAGAGTTAATGCACATTAACTACATAAAACTGTAATAAAATGGATTAACTACAAATTAAGGTATTGTACAAGATGAAAAGTAGAGTAGGAAAACATACAATTGGGTTTATTTCTAAAAATCAGGGTTGGATCTAAGGAAGGATCTAAGGATCTTGTGAAGCAAAGTTTTTCTCTTTTTACTTCTAAAGTTTCCAATCTTGGTGGTCCATTGACCAGAGCCTTCAAAGTACCTAATACTGACTCCTACATAACCATGCTGCTCCCTTCTTGTTTCACTTCTGTGAAGAAAGCCACAACTCTACTACACTAGGAATTAAAAACCTAGAGTTTGGTCCTGATTCTGTCATTAAATTGCTATATGACATTTGGCAAGTAACCTTCCCTCACTGAGTTTCAATTGCCTTAAATGCAGAGTTAGGAGTTTTAATTAGACCAATGTTTCTCAAAGTTGCCTATCAAAAGAACAAACCAAGTTAGTACTTTGTGTCCCTTGTGAAGAATATGGATGCCAAAGCCTACTCTGACTATAACTTGGGGAGTGGAGAATGGAATTTAGAACAATGCAAATTTAACTGATTTTTATACTAATTTAGTATATTACCTTGACTTTAAGCCTTACATTTTTCCCTAAAGTACTCAGTTACTAAATGTTTTCAAATCTGAAAAAGCCTAAATATCATTCCTAAAGAATACACTGCAAAGGCTTTCCTAACACATATTTCAGCATGTTGGGTTTTTTAACTTAGTATCTTGGTTCTCATATTCTAGACAGTTAATCTCATGTAAACAGACATACTAGGGAATTCCTTACAAAGAAAATACAAATAAATAAGAAATTTCCAACACCTATATTCTTTATGATTATTACCACAGCAACAATTAAGTCATTTTCATTAGAAAGTATCTTTCATTTAAAAAAAAATGCTTCCAACATAATGGAATAAACAAAATAGTCTTACCTAATCGTAATTCTCCAAAATTGCCACATCCAATTTTTTTTCCAACTCTAAAGTTAGGTCCAACCATTAAAACTCCAGAGGATGAAGACCCAGTTCCTCGAGTGTTGTGTCCCGACCGACCACTAGGTCGTGCCATTCTATCATCTGATTTGTCCTTGTCTTTCTTTTTATTATCCATATCAAGTTTGCGGTACTCCACTTTGAATTCTTTAATCAAGACAAGCACACTGAAATAGGGTATTGTGAGAATAGGTACATCACTAGATCAACTGTACCAGCTGGGTAATGTTAACATTCAAATTGCGGTAGGTAGTCAATTAACTGGTGCGTGTTCATCCCATTCGTAAAATCTTTCTCAGTTGTCTTTTCAACAAAACATGTCTTCAAAATTATCTTTTCAATGATGTGAGCTGGTATTGACAGAGAGCTAGAATATTAAGAAAAGAAAATTAGTCATCTTAGATAATTAAAAAACAAGTGTTTGGGAAATTAATAACAACGAAAGTTTAGGCAAAGGATTACTGCTATTTGTTGATGCCCGCTGAAACCAAGTAACATTAGACTCCTAAATTAACCATTACCCTTTATTCTTATACTTTGGTACCAAAGAAAATATGAAAACAAAGACATCAAGAATTTGGTCACTTCTTAAAAATAAGTAACAAAAATGTATTGTGTGTTTCATTAAGTCAATATATATTCACTAACCTAGACCTTCCAACTTAAAATCATTTCAATTTTAAAAAGAAAAAAAAAATTCCCGTCAGTTTAAGATACTCAATTTAAATAAAAAGAGAATATATTCTGCAAATTAGTATAATATCTTAAGAAATATCTTCCATATGTTCATACACTTAGTAATTTTCAAACTGTTTTCAAACATACATTCTTATTTGATTATTATTTATTCAAATGTTTATTGCTCATTAACTTTACATGGGAATGTAGCTCAGAAGTGATAATATTAAAAAGATACTCAGTATCCATCAAGGAAAACAATTAATTCTTATGTAACATTTTAACTAGACCTTAAAAAATAAATGTAATTTCACAATTTCACTTATGAAGTGGAGAAGGTAGGTTTCAAACTTCCTAATATACAGACAAAAAAACTTAAAGCTCAAAAAAATTTTCAAGACTTTTTAAGAAGTCTGCCCCATTCATCATCTCTAGCATTTCAACCATCAAACATACCTCAATTCTGTGATAAGTCTGCAATAAAAAATAATCTTCCTATTGTTGTTTGAACAATCAGTGGATCCTATTCTTTACAACTAAAGAACATTTGACTTCAAAAGATAGTCATTAATAAAGAAACTATGACCAAAATATCCAAGACTTCCTATTTCTACTTCTGAAACTGATTATATAATGCAATCACCAGGGTTGAAACAAAGGGTACTTTCTGATTAATTTCCAGTAAATCCCCCAAATATGCAATTAGTTCTAACACCAAATGACCAAATGTATTTACAATGTTTACTATATTTGCCATACTCTTATGTTGCAGATGAAATTTTAAGCATGTTTGGTATATATAAAACTGAATGTTTAATCCATTTCCACAGTATAAAACCATAACTGACACTGAACCTCCCCTCCTACTCTAAGTAACTATAAAACTGGACAAAACATAAGAAGCACCAGTTTTCAGGCATCAGATAACAGGCAGTGCAGACTGTGATCCTGGAGAAAAGAGAAATGCACGAATACCACCTTCACGCAAGCCCTCTCTCTGGCCAGGGACAATTTTCTGACTACAGCACAGGAAGGTGAAATTCAGGAAGTACAGAGTGATTGACCATAGATTAGAGTTTGGGACTGCTGAAATAAATGGAATTTGTAGGACATAGTACTGAAGTTGAGGTAGTTGTGCAGTGTTGTGGGTAGGGTGTGGTAGGACAGAAAGCCAGGCTACACACACGTGAGCGGGACAATATCCTGAAATACCTAGCAAACAATGCTACTGTGGAGTTAAATGAACAATGGAGACACTAAAGGCTGCACAATGCTGGCAGATCTTAAAGTTCCTTCCTTGTCATAGTGGAAGAACCTCATTTCTATCCTAGGAATTCAGCTGAACCACCACAAGACCAGGTCTTAGGAATAGGACCACATCCTAGAGTAAGGACTACTGTAGACCAGCCCAACTAAAGCCTAAAATCAAGCCCAGAATGGATGAACAAGAGCTCCAATTAAATTAATTGCACTCCAGAACAAAACTCACATAACTTAAAAGGACAAAAAACCTAAACTCTCAATAATGTTAAATTCAAAATGTGCACCATACACTTAAAAATTACTAGACAGGCAAATAAGTAGTAAATGTGACCCATAGCCAGGAAACAAAGCTGTCAAAGGAAACAATACCTCAGTATGATCTTGATACTGGAATTAGAAGAAAGGACATTAAAATTACTAAATAGCTGTTAAAGTCCTATTAAATCAAAGAAAGAAAATGGGGCAGAAAAAAATATTTCAGTAAATAATGGTTGAAAATTTCCAAATTCAGTAAGATTAACCTACAAATTGAAGAAATTCAACAATCTCATAAGAGATAAATACAAAGAATACTGACTGAACTGAGGTATACTGTAGTCAAGTCCTAAAATCCAAAAATTAAGAAAAAATTTTGAAAGCCAACAGAGAAAAACTGCACAACAGATGGGGGAACTTCAAACTTCCTATCAGAAACAATGGAGGCCCAAAAGAAAAAAGGAAGATATTTTCAAAGCAACAAAAGCAGTAAAAAAAGCTTTCAACCCAGGATTCTATATTCAGTAAAATTATTCTTTAAAACTGAAAGTGAATGAAAACCATTTTCAGATGATGGAAAGCTAAGAATAGGTCATCTGGACTACAAGAAATACTTTTTTAAACAGTCCATTAGGCTGAAATAAATTGAATGATACTAGATGGAAATGTGAAACTTCAAGAAGAAATGAAAAGCACCAGAAATCAGAAATGAATAGGTATTCATTTCCTTTTAAAAGATAAATACTGCTTAAGGCAAAAATAATTTCTTAGTGATATTTACAACATATGGAGAAGTAAATTATAGATCACAAATGGCAGGGGATGTGGTAAATAGAATACACCATTTTAAGAGTCTTTGTAAGAGTCTTTCAAACCATTTTGTGAAGAATGTGTTTGTGAAGAATGACATGGTTCAATATTAATTCTAAGTAGCCAATGACAAGTTAAGAATGAATATTGTAATAACTAGACCAAACACTAAAATTTAAATTAATTGCAATAGAAATAGCTAAAAACCTAAGAAACAAAACAGAATAATAAACTTTTGGTACAACAAGAAGAGAAACAAAAGACAAATGAGACAAAAAGAAAATTGGCAAAATAACTGAAAAACACATAAATATGAAAATAGGACATATTCTCCCCATAAAAAGGAAAAATTGGCAAACTATATGAAAAAGGAAGATTCAACTATATGTTGTTTATTTTAAAAAACCTTTAAATACAAAACACAGATAGACTGAAAGTAAAAGAATAGAAAAAGATGTACTATGCAAACAGCAAGTATAAGAAAGTGTCAGAAGCTACATCATCATCATACAAAGCAAATGTCAAAACAAAAGAATATCTCCAAAGATATAGATAGAGGTGCCTTTCATAATGACAAAAATACCAATTCAACAGAAAGTCATAAAAATCACATATGTGTATGTACGTGTATATATATATATATATATGATTTAGAAGTTTTATTTTAAAGGGCCCTTTTAATAATACTTTTTCTACTTAGAAGGAATTTTCCTTTTGCAATCTTTAGTGTTATTTTCAATATATAGCTTTTTGTTTATGTTTAATCAAATACCCAAAACACATTCTACATGTAGTAAGAATTTAAATAATACAGATAAAGTAAAAACACCCACAGAGGGATGCCCATACCCCTTGTTCCTTGTTTGCCCTACTCAGAGGTAACCATTAGTTTCAGTTTGTTGTGTATGCTGCAGTTTTTTGGTAATGTCTGTGCATGCACATACTTATGTGCAGCAATATGAGCATGCATATACTTATGTATAACAATATTTGTAGGTGTGCTTGCTTGTTTTACAGAAGAGGTCCAGGTAAAGCCCCTAAAGAACCAAAATTGCCCCATAACAGAAACAGCGTTTGAAAGTGTATCATACACTGAAGGACTGCCTTTTCCCTTTCTCACACCTCCACCCCACATGACCCCTAGAGGACTAAGGGCCACCAGCACAATGAATAGAGGGAACAAAGAGTCAAGAGACAGCCCCAAATCCCTTCCCAGTTGAAGTTCTAGAGCCAAGAGCCATGTCTACAACTGGGAGGTGGAGAGATAGAAAGAAGTGATGAATTAGCTTAAAAATTGAACTTCAAAAATGAAATGGATGTTTTTTCCATGGACAAAACTGAACTTACTCTTATAAATATGTGGGAAGAAATCAATGGAAACTGACGAGGATATCATCTATGAGTGGAGAAGAGAGAATAATCAAAGTGTATATATATGTAACACTGGTGAATGAGAAATGAAACTGTTTACTATTTTATTTCATCCAGTTCACCACATTCAGGAAACTGTTCATCAACCTCTAATAATAAATAAGTTTTAGTTTTCAGAAATATTTTTAACAAATTAAGGTTCTTAATTAAAATATTTTCTTATTAAGAATCTCAAATAGTGCTAATACTTTCCTATCATATAGCATCTATCAAACAGTATTAAAATTGCCTACGAGTTTGTCTACAGCCATGGTCAGCAAACTCCAGCCTGTAGGCTAAATCCACCCTGTTGCCTACTCTGTACAGTCTGCAGACTAAGAACGGTCTATACATTTTTACAAGGTCGGGGGAAAATATTAAAATAATATTTTGTGGCACATTAAAATTACATGAAATTCAAATTTTACTGTTCATAAATACATTTTATAAGGATGAATCCATTCTAATTCATTTACATATTTTTATGGCTGCTTCATGCTAAAAGAGCTAAGGAGTTGAGAGAGAACATATGTAGCACTCTTATAACCATTTGACACTGCTGCCCAGGGCACCACAAATTGCAGAAGTAACTGTCAGGTTTTAAGGCATAATGAATGTGAATTATCTATGTCAAATTAGATTACAAAGCACTGTGTTTATTATATAATGATACTACTGTAAAGAATACAGTATACTTGGACATGACCAAAAGTATTAGTTTTTTCTATTGCTGTGTAACAGATTGCCAAAAACTTAGCAGCTTATACCAATACACATTTATTAGTTCACAGTTTTTGTGGATCAGATGTCTGGGCATGACTCAACTTAGTTGCTCAGGGTTTCTCAGGTTTCATTCAAGGTATCAGTGAAGCTGCATTCTCATCTGGAGGCTCAAGTGGAAAAAATCCTCCTCTAAACTCCTTCACATTGTAGGCAGAATTCACATCCCTA